AGTAAAAAAACATTAATTTAAAGGCTGTAGTCAGGCTATGGGGTTTTATGGCGATGGTCAAGCGATGAAGCAACATTCAATTTCAGGTTAATCTGGCTCTCCTAAGGCTAATTTCTCAAAATCTTAAATATATATAAGATTTTATTTTTTTATTGAATATAACTTTAAATTGGAAGAGAGAGAGAGAGAGAGAGAGTTTTCGTAGCCAAATGTGTTGATGAATTAGATGAGGATAGAGGTGTCACTTAGCTAGGTTGGCTGCCGATAGGCACTAGGTTGATTGGCAATTAGCGACGGTTGGTTGACGACGGATTTGGAGTTGATCAACAATGGGTGTAAGACTAGTCGCTGGTCAGCGTGGCGTGCAGAGCCGATGATTGTGAACTCATATTTTTAAAATAATGAAAAATACCTAAGATTTATTTTGGGTGAAAAAGAAAATTATTTCTTTTAAAAAATATTTTTTTTCATTTTTTAAATAAAAAAATAAAGGCCAATTGTTGCTTGAGTCTTCTATAGCCTTGTCAAACGCCCACATTTTGAGCCACATTCTCTTGAAGTAAATGCATGCTGATTCATTTGAAATCATCTCATAATGAGAAACCAGACACCAAGTTGGGAAATATTTCAATTCAAAACACATAAGAACTAGAAAAAAAACTACTTAATTCAAAAACCCAAAAATCAAGTTGAAAAAATTGATCAAATAAGTTCAACTATGTTTTGTTTTTTGTTTAATTGATTTCAATTTATAATTTAGCACAAGTCAATGCATGGTTTGATTTGGCTCAAAGTTGAAGTTTTGAAATAATCATGGAACTCAAATGGCTTTGGTGCATGTCAACAAATTCATGTTTATTCAAAAAATGTTTAACGTCTTAGTTTTGTACAAAAATTCAGCTCATGAATAGACAAAAAAAGAATACAAGAAGACAACATAATATCTATGTGAAAAACTTACAAAGCAGAAAAATCGCAACCAAGTTGGAATGAATCTACTAACATATTTTCTTGATTACAAATTATGTACATCTCCATATTATGGGAGATATTGATGCACTATAGCAAACATTAACTAATAAGGATGGATTCCACGATGGAAGTTAAAAGAACCATGTGTTATTGAAGTTGTCTTCTAGAGTGCATGTGCGATGTGGTCTATGATTCACCTTTGATGAGAGGATGCCAAAGACAAATAAATCTAGTGTAATTCCTGATAATGACAACAAGCAATGAAGTCAGTGATAGTCAGTCCTTGTGTCAATGACGAGCATCAATCTTATAAGTTATGAGGTGTATTGATGTATTGGCGATGGTAGGCATAGTCAGCGATCATCAATTGGTATCAAAGACTACATTAACTTTCTAGTTGATGATATGCATCAATGTTGGCGGTGACATCTAGCGACAAGGTCAATATGCATCAATATTTGTATATTAGGGAAAGTAATCAGGCGATTGTGGTAGGGCAATTAGGCAATAATGATTAGGTGATCGTAGTTGGGAAATAATGGTTGGAGACTAAAATTAGAACACAGTGCTCGGAGATCCGTTCTCAGGTGATGGTAGCCAAATGACTATAGTCAAGTTCTAATAATTGTCAGATCATAATAGTGCCATGATTGTTAGAAGACTATAATATAATAATGGTGGTCAAATGATTGTAGTCAGAAAACATTAATTTAAAGGCTGTAGTCAGGCTATGGGGTTTTATGGCGATGGTCAAGCGATGAAGCAACATTCAATTTCAGGTTAAAGTATAAGCTTTAGGTCCAACTCCCATTCTCCTCTCAAGTATAGAATGCGGGTCTATTTTTATATTATTATTTTCATAAATATACATAAATTCTAAAACACTGTTTTAAAACTCCTGACCAATAAACTAAAAGAGCTGCATAAAAACTTTTTAAATTAAAGATTTATTTTAAAAATTAGTAGAAATGCTAAGCCAAACGAAGCCCTTGTCCCCAAAAAGAACGCTGAAAATGTTTTACTTGGTCAGTGTTTCAAGCCGCCAATTCGAACGGCGAGGATACTATCAACATTCTGACGTGACTACCCACAATGAAATGAGACAAAGCACAGGCAACCATCTGCTTAAAGTTAGATTATTCCTTCGTAATTTTTTTTTTTTTTGGACATTTAGGCCATTTAAGGCAAACTCACACACACAATGCATACACATAAACTCGAACCCTGGACCTCTTAGTTGGAAGCCTAAGCTCTCAACCATAGGCCAAGGAGAGTTGTGTATTCCTTCGTAATTTTGATGTAGACCAAAAGTATGAAAAATATTTATGAAATTTTTGGTTATTTCAATAATATAACATTATGAAATGTTTTATAAGCTTAAAAAATGTATTATTACCATTATAATCATATAGAGCCTTAAATTATCATCATCATTTTTGCATTAAAGCATAAATTTAATATCCCCCTTTCATTCATCATGATCCGACTTCAAATCTTAATATGACCGATGAAACTTTGGAAGAATACAAAGTTAATTTTGCATTTCAAAGTTTTATTTCCTCACGCATATTGGAAAGAAACATTAATATGAAAATTTTCTAAAATTTAATTTGAAAATTTTAATTTATACTCAAATTTCTGACTCTGCCACTACATGAGAACTATCAAAATCTACAATGATGGTTTGACCAATACGAATTTATACATAAAAACACCATGAAATCTCGATCAAAGTAAAAGATATGTTTGAAACGGTTAAAATCATCCAGACCGGTTCACCAATATAATTTATAAATCAAAGATAAAAAGAAAAATATATTAATTTTATGTATTTTTCTATATTTGGCCAACCCTCCCTATCTTCATTATGAAATTTTATAATGTTATATAAACAATTACATGTACTTATTTGGGAATAAGATGGACATTAATTGCCTTTTATGACTTTGCTTAATGGTATCATTGTATGGCCTACCCTTTTGTAGAATTTTTTGGTTCATAAAATTATTATTGTGACCAACAACCGTTGAACAGTCATGATTATCTCCCTCCACTTTCCACCAATTTCTTCTTCAAATTTTCATTAAAAGCACGATAGTTCGATTGAACATGTTCTTCATGGATTAAAAAAGGGATTTTTTTTTTTTTTTTTTTTTTGGGGTTTTTTTTTTTTTTTTTTTTGGAGTCGGTAGGCGAATGATAGAAGTTTGTGGTTAGTGCGAGAATCGAATACCACAGGTTAATAGCGTGGAGGAGGGCAAATTATTAGGTCTGGTCACCGGACTTAAAAATAGGTCCAGACATCCAATAAAAACTTGTCATGTCGCCTGCGCTTTAGATGCACTTTCACTTCGCTTTCCCTGCATTTTTGACACGCTTAACTTAAAATAATATTTTATTAATATCCGTATCTATCTCTAGGTCCCATGATTGAACCTAATAATTTGCCGTGGAAGAGGCGGAGGACCCATCTACGTTATTCACAAGGGCTAAAAATCTGGCCATATGGATTTATTGTATGAGCAATTATATTTCTTTTTTACTGCATGACAATGTTTTCTACAGAGATTCGCTCAGCTTAGGGGACAGTGGGCTTTGAACAGGCTTCGTCCAAGGCAGGCAGGTTAAGAAGTGCTTTTCGAAAGTACTCATGCGTTTTGAAAATTTTTCTTTTTCTTTCTACAAGAATTTTTTAAGAACAGTCGCTTATTTGGACGAATTTTTACTACTTAAAGTAACTTTTTAATACAAATAATTATAATTTTTTACTAAAATACTTATTTAAGAAATAATTAGAAAGTCATCCTAAACAAAATCTTAATCATTTAAAAGTAAAAAACAATGTCTTAAAACTAAGGGGCTGTTTGGTAGCAAGATTTAGGTTGGATTTGAGGCGGATTTGAGCGAAATCCAGCCAAACGGCCTAAAATGCAAATCCAAATGTCACGGCAAACAAAATCCTCCCTAGACGGAAAATTCCGCCGATTCGATCTAAATCCAGAATTTCCGAAATCCTGTATTTGCCGGATTTACGAAATCCATGGTGCTAGAAGAAGAATCCGCTCAGTAAATCTTGCTCTATAGTCAAACAGTCACATGAGATTTAAGAAGATTTATCATGAATGTTACCAAACAGTTTTCAGGATTTAAGCCTCTCAGGATTTCCAAATTCCGGATTTAGAGGATTTACGAAATCCTACTTAAATCAATTCTAGGATGCTACCAAACAGCCCCTAAGGTTTCGTTTGGGACGGTTTTTTTTACTGCTTCTTGAAACAACTTTTAATTTTTAAAATTTTTGTACTAAAAAACTACTTCAAGAAGTAATAAAAAAGCCATTTCAAACAAAGCCTAAGACTTATTTTGAGACAATTTTGTTATTATTTTGTATAATAACTTTTTAATACAATTTTTTAAAAAATAATAATAAAAAAACAGTAATAAACCAAAATCTCTCATACATCAAATTTATGTTACAAAAATAGAAGAAAGGAAAATCATACCTTGCATACCAAAACCCTGAACGACCGAAGGACAAGCGCCCCATGGATTCTTTTGGATGCTTCAAATTAGAAAACTTATTTTACAAAATAATGATTGTATTAGATTCTATGATTTAATTGGATTGAACGCAATTAGAAAATGATATAAATTTAAAATTTAGCAAATAAATTCAAATTTTTCCAAGAAAATTATTTTATTTTTAGCCTTCTTTTAAGACAACTTTCTTATTGCTTCCTAAAGTAGCTTTTAATATAAAATTTTTAATTTTTATAATAAAAAACTGTTTTAAGAAACAGTAAGAAAATCATCCTGAACAAAACCTTATTTTTACATTCAAAAGCAATGAACATAAAATCATCCTTTCCTAATATAAAAACTGGTGCGGTTTTTCAGATAGAAGCTACAGTCAATAAAAGGAATTCCAAAACAAATTCAGATAACTCGTTTTTCAGATAGAAGCTATAGTTTGACAGATCGATCAAAGATGCAGTCGATATCATCTGGCTATAAAAATAAATAAATAGTTTACTGTCAAAGAAAACTATGCCTCATTGAACTAATTCAAAAATCATAAATCATTTGACAACAGAATAATGTTATATCACAAAGCATAAAGTTTAGAACAAGTTGCACACAGATGATGCAAGAATCTAATAGAAAAACTCACACTAAAAACTGTTTATCAACTTACAGGCTGCAGCATCCTCAAAGAATCCGCCATCATAAGCTCAAATCAATCAACTTGTTAATTTCTAATCAGAATCTTCGTATGCCTCCCCATCTGAAAGCTCATCAAATGACCTGATATCAAGCTGATAGCGAAGAATGCCGCCGATTCCGCCAAATCCTCGGCAGAATTGTGAGCCCTCCTGCGACTTATTTGTGACGAATTCGAGGCTGCAACCAAAACGTTTGTATTCATTTGCAAACCATTCTAGCAAAGAAGTCTTCTCTTGCACCTCTAATTCTGCGTTGGTATCAGGATCGCGGAAGTTGCTTTGGTCAAGTTCTTGCTCCTTATTAAAATGCTTTATACTGATTTCATTGCTACCACTGTTTTTCAAGACATATCTGTTAACCTCTAAATTTTCCCAAACAATGAGGATCTCAACGGCACCCATCTCGAGAGCCTTAAGTGTGTCATCCACACCAAAAACGTACTTCCCGGTGTCTTGGCTTATTTCCTCAAAATACTTCCCTATAAGTTTTTTCTCTTGTATGAATTTTACATTAGAGAGGATCTCAGCTGATAGCTCAATTGCCTGGTTGAAACCGTTTTCTCCTCCATAAGAAACGTCAACAACATTGAGAATCTTTGCCTGAAGACGGGGATCAAACATGTCAGACTGGCTCAACTCTGTTTTAAAATCAGCAGAACCAGCCAGAATCAATCCAGCAACATTTGGCTGACTTGTAGCAGGATTAATGAAGAACTGTGTAGCAAGTTCAGCTGTCTTTCGTACATAATTGTGGCGCTTCTCCATCCGAAGCCTCGCAAAACGCAAGGCAGATTGTCCACCTCTTCCGTGCTTCTTTGGGAGATCAACAGTAAATTTATGGAGAACCTCACGGGTATTGCCACTTAATGTTCCAAACAGAGTTCCATTTCCATCCATAACAATAAAACCAAATTTGTCATCGGACTCTAGAAGCTCGTTGAGAGCCTCTGTATGGAACTTGTTATCACAGAGATAAAGGGATGCATTGATGGGCTTGAAAGGCTCAAAATCTATTGTAACTTTTTTCTCTTTGCCATCCTCAGTAACAATGGTGCCAGTATACAGAACTAGTCCATTGGGAGGTACCTTATTGTAAAGCTTCAGCCTCTGTTGAGCTGAAGTAATGGCTGCCAACACAGACTGTCGATTGACTCTACTCTTGATGTTTGAAGCAGTTCCATATTCATCACCTAGCATTTTGGTGACTCGAGAAATCTGATCACGTGGTGGCATAATAAGAGAAATCATGCTCGTGCCATTACCTCTGGCAGATTCTAGTGCCTTAATCAATTTTTTGACCTTCCAGATCTCAATATTCTTATCAGTTTCATGACTATCAGTCATTTTCAAGTCTGCTCTGAATAACAAAAATCAACTAACTTTTATTAGGAAATTGGTTCGAACGCACAAGAACAGTGAAACTTAGGTGTAATGCTAGATGACAAGTCAAATATTTTGGTTGGTTTGCGGTTCAAGAAACGTTAGAAAGCAGTCGCGGTAGAAACCAAAAGAAAACTTGATTACGTGATGGTTTTAAAGTGATCTAGAAAACTAAAATATGCACGTTTTAGGAGATCTTCAGATGTTTAATTAAAAATTTCCAGATAAAAAAGAACAAGATATAATAAGCACATTTTCATTAGCAACAAATCTCTTTACCGTGTTTAGAAGAAATAGCAGATGATTCATATTAAAAAAACACATGCGAATAACTCAATTTTAATGATTTGTACTAAATGAAACACTTTAAACAGAATAGTAAAGTAAATACCTTAAAGATAAATAAATTCGGTATTAGGATATTGTCTCAATAATTTTGTTAAGATAAGTTAATAATTCAAAATAGGTGATTGAGGATAAATACAAACAATCCTTTCGTTTTTGAATAAGAAAAGGTTCAAAAACTTATTATTTAACATCATCATATCAAAATTTGAAACTGGAACTAGATTCTACCTCCTAGAACTCTTATTAATATAATAGTTAAAATAATCTCTGTTGGTGGTGGGTGTGCTAGGCCTTAAGATCCCTGGGTGTTTTTAACCATGAAAAAATTTTCAGGTGCATGTTAGAAAGAAAATAGGGAGAGAAGATGGAGAGATAGGTGGTGTGCTTGAAAATCTAAAAGCTGATGATGATGTATTAGAGAAAAAGGCAGGCGGTGGGGAGAAGCTTCAAGGAATTAAATGTAGAAAATATAAGAAGAAAAGGGAAGGAGTAACACTGAAGGTTCTGCTCAACTATTTTAATGTGGCACAAGTGCTGTGTCACGTAGAGTTTGGATTTAGCTCCACTAGGATGGTTAGAAAATACATTTGCGTAGAAATACTAAGTATTTGAACCTCTCCGGCAAGACTTAAATTTTTAGTATGAAAATGGATTTGACCATTGGCCCCATAGGGGAACGGGCGATCTTTCGAGTGATTCAATAGACTCTAAAAATTCGTTTTCAATCTGAAATCACAATTCGTTTTCAACTGATTAGAATATTGGACTTCATCCAACCTCAATTTCTTTTTTCTCTTTCTAACAAGAAACAGGCATAAAAGAGGAAGGAAGAGCTGGTAGGCTACCCAAGCACCATCCAAAGAATTACATTCGAACATTCTAGGAGCCACCTTGGGTAACCAAATTCGATCGGGTAATCATTCAAATTCAGAAAGGAAGCTCGTTTCTTTTTTGTCTTACTCGAATTGGAGCCATAAGGCTAACTGGACTAGATAATTCTACTCTTGCAACTAGATTTAGGTTCAACCTATATATTGAAGTAATGTATCGTGTCCTTTCAATTTCCAAGTATCTGGGGGGGTTCTTTCTCCGTCCATCAGTTCCCAGTTGTTCAGCGCGGAGTAGAGCAGTATTGCACAACTTTGACCCCATTATAACATCCCAAAAACGATGAGATGATCCAAGACTATACCATAAAGGGGTACTCAATTTGATCGCCTCTTCAAATAAATTAGTTATAAGTCCATAAGAAACTACCTCGTTCACATTCGTTCAAGTTTAAATGATATAATTTTTTTATAAAAGTTGTTGATACTTGATAGTAACAATTCTCATATCACACAGTTGAAATCAAAGAAGTTGACGCCGGAAGTTCAAAGTAGGGGTGTAAATTAGCCGAGCCGGCTCGAGCTCGACTCGATAGCGAGCTCACGAGCCGAGCTTATCGAGCCACGAGCTCGAGTTCGACCTGGTTGAGGCTCGACTCGTGAGCTCGCGAGCCAGCTGAAAATTATTTAATTAATTAAATTAATAAGCAAACATATTTTTATTTAAAAAAAATAAACGGTTTAAAAAAAAAACAACCAGCCGGTTCAAGTTTTCAAAAAGAAAAAACCATTGTTTCTACTTTTTGCTAGTTATTTATAATATTTTCATTAATGCAAGCTATCCTAATTTCGAAATACGGGACAGACACAGGCGACAAAATGAGAAATTGGGTAGGAAAATGGAACAAATGCGAAATCTAGTATGAAATTGAACGGCTTACAAGCCGGCTCGAGCTCGTTTATAATGGGATGAGCTCGAGTTCTACTCGAGCTCACTTTCCGACTGACGAGCCGAGTTCGATAGCTCTAAAACTCGACTCGTTTACGCCCCTAGTTATGAGACATGATCGAATCAGCAATCGGAAATCATATGATAGAGATCAAAACACCACAAATTAGATTAGAATTTAAATTAGATCAAGTTAAGGATGAATTTGATCTTGTTTGCATAAGCTTGTTATTAATTCCTAATTCAGAATAGGATAATTTCTATTGGAAGTATCTTTTAGTTTGAGCTTATCTAATTTATATAGATAGAGTTTCCTAATTTTGTAGAGTTTGTTTAGATATTGAATAAGAAATATTGCCTACTATAATTGCCATAAATAGACCATAAATCAATGGAAATCCTTCTCTATTCCTCTCAGCCGAACTCCCTGCAGTTCCTGTTACTGTAGCTTACAAAAGCTGCAACCCATCAGGCAGCCCGTAACTAGCTGTGCCAGGGACTGCCCCTGCAGTTGTTCCTTTCCCACTGCCGCTGAATTAATTGCTGGCTGCCACCATTTTTTGTGGATTTTCTTTGCTGTGTTCCACTGCTACTCTTCCCGCATTCAGCCCACAGCACCAGTAGGATAAGCATCCGAAACATGATGAATTGCTGGCCGAGACCTGAAAACACCCGGCACTGTTCCTAATCCCTAGTCTTCCTAAAATCTGCAACTTCTGCTGCTGTAGTTGATTAACTGTGCAGCCCCTAAAGCACTGCAACCTTCTAGAGGAACTAAGATAATAATTACAGCAAGATGACTGATGTTCCATAGGGAAAAAAAAAAACAGAATTCGGGAAAGGAATTGCTGTGATCAGCAAGTAGAAGGTCAAAACACTGCAAGAATGTCTATCTACCGTAAGGAAACTAAATTAAAAAGTTTGTTACGCAAATATTAAGGAACTTCTTATCTGGGCTATAAAATTAAAGAATTAAACTAAAATATGTGAGACACTTTTTTGATGAAATGGTTGGAGTTTTATCACCCAGCCGAAAATTAAATGTGATCATGTTGGAGCGCTCTTAGGATGAGTAACCTTATGAGAAACTACACCATGAAGCTAAAACTGTGAGGTTTCGCTTAGTAATGGGTTTGAGCTAGGCGAAAGAGGACACTACCTCATGATGTAGACCTACATGTTTATAATCGACTATGTCAATCAAATAATTAATCTGAGCAAATTTATATTTTTTTTATGGACTTTATTTTAGATTCATGTTTCAATCTTATGTGAGCTTGTTGGTTATAGAATTTCTTCAAGTGCTATGCAAGTGTGATAGACAACTTTCTAAAGAAAGATGTATCCTAATAATTGTGTAAGACCTAGATTTTCTACATTTCGGTGATCTTTCCTTTATCCTTTTCTTCTTAATTACTTCGGTATTAAATGCATAGAATACAAGCATTTAATACCTAGATTTTCTCCCATACCAATTGTCAATCAAATTTGCTACAGCTGAGATTTCATCTATAGCATAGAATTTACAATTGCTTGTAATTTTTTTATTATTTGAATTTCTCGTTGATTAATTTGATTTATTTGACATTATATTATAAATTGGCTCCAACTTTCATGTATTTTTAAATTTAAGCCTTAAAAAATGGTTTTTTTGTGTAATTGGTGATATTTGGTATATGAATCCGACTATTTTTGTGTGATCTACATATATTACATCATCTTAGTTGTATTAGGATCGCTAAACCCGTTCATTCCTACATGACCTTGCAGTGTATGGGCTGGCTTGTCACAATTGGTATGGAAGACAGACCTCTAGAATGACAAGTCTAATAGCACAAAATTTTTAGGCTTTGGATAACCAAGAAATGAGATATCCTAGTCTAGTAGGAGAACTCATGAAAATGCCATGGGATATTAAAATATGGCAGGCTTAAAGTGAAGAAGACAAACAAGAAATAGATGAAAAAATCCTGGAGACCAAACTATTTTGGCAAATGAGTTCCTAATAAAAATAGTATAGAAAATAATCAAGGGTTGTATCTCAAGCTAGAATCTTTGTGCATGACAAAAAATCTCTAGACTTTTATTGAAAGTAGATATGCATCCAAGAAGGTAGGATCATTATTAAATCACATCTTAAAGAGTTTAAATCCATTGTCAGAAATTAGAGTAACATAGATTTGATGATCGTTGATGAGAATCAAGCTTTGTTACTCTTGTACTCTTTGCACCCCCTTATAAGCATTTCATGAAACTATATTATATGGATGAGATACAATATGCTTATAAGATGTTAAGAATTTGCTTTTCTTTAAAGTTGCAATGGCTAAAATTGAGGATTTAGGAGATGAAAAGCAACCTAAAGGATTAGTGAGAGACCTTCAAAACAAAACTACTTCCAATCATGGAAAAAATTAGGTGGCAAATTGAGTTTTTTCTATTTTTAAAAGAAAAGGCATATGAAATGAGCTTGTCAAGCCTTGAGGGAGTAGCATGTCCGTGACACCCGCAATTTGGCCATGTGCAAACATAAAAGTTCTTTTAATATCCATTGGAAGCAGAGATAAGAATCAATGAATTATAGATTTATCTAATTTGTAAAAGTGTGTCCGTATAAGAAACTAATTTCTAAATATGAGTCATATACTATTTAAGATTATAGGAAAAAGAATATAACTTGCAAGATAGTTGTTCTGATATTGTGAAGTTGAAGATGCATAAGGGCACGACTAGAATATGGTAATAACAAGTATATACCAAACCTCCAAAAGAATCTAATATTTTTTTAGTGTACTTACTCAAACAAAAATGCAAGTTCTCAGAATATGCTTAAGCATTAAATGTTTGCAAGAT